CTCTGAGAAGTTTCCAAACATAAAATTAAAATAAACATGCAAAAAAAACGTGATAGAAAAATAACACGGAGTACTTTTCACCCAAAAGATCCAGAAAAAAATATGTATATGTATTTTTAATTTTAAAAAAGAACAGATTTTACTACGTAATTTTATTACTGCAAATTTCTGTAAAGAATCAATAAAGAGTAAACTGATTCTTGAGTCAGGCAGGGATGGCAAATGGAACAAGTAAGCACGCCTTACTTGGCAGATCGGAGTTCCTGCTTTGACATGGCACTTATCCCTCTTCTGATCATTGGCTTTTGATTGTTACTGTGCAGCCAATATTCACATTTCTTTAATTTTCAGAAATTGCTACTGATACAGTGGGGGTAGAAGGAGCTAACTATACTATTTGCTTTGCTTGCTTGGATTGAATTTTAGTTTTATGTCAAAATCTGCTAGCATATTGAATTGATTTTTTTTTAATTACATTCAGCAAATTCATAAACTGCGGCGAGAGCTGGTTGCATCTCAAGAAAAAGTGGCTACCCTCACATCTCAGCTTTCAGCAAATGTAAGTCAGTTTTGATTTTGTGATACGTTAAAACAGATTTTTAGATAGTAAGTAGGATAATTTTAGTAACCGATTTACGCACTTAAATGTCAAAAATTATACAGATTTAAGTCACTAAACTGTGAGACTCGGATAAAGTCATACTTTCCTGTACACTGAGTAATAAAATATAAACCCAAATTGATAAGGATGCATCCTGTGGTTGAAATGGCTTTTTGTTTCTTATAAGGTTGGAAGTATCAGTAACAGCAACAATGGTTATTTCTTTTCTTATTTCTTATTTTTATCACTCCCCATACATAAGACTTTCTCAAGCCACAATGTTATTAGGGATTGCTGGAGATTAACTTTGGAAGATAAAAAATTCATGTGCCCTGCCTCCTTCAGAGCAATTTATTAGACAATTAGTTAAGCATTCACTTCATTCTCAAAAAAAAAAAAATTAACTTGGTCTAATTTTGGGTATCTTAGCTATATTGTAAATGAGATATATTTCTCTCAACAACCTGGGCAGCCTTCTCATAGTTCAAGCAGCAGAGAACAGCAAAAATGATGACAGTGAAAACCATCAATTATATTAACATTTACTGAAGACCTTCCAATGTGCCAGGGAGTACATAGATGTAGAGTAATAAACAGCCTGTGGCATTGTGCCTCGTCCTCAGGAACAATGGTGTTAGGAACAACGGTGAGGGCTAAGCAGGCTCCCGCGATTTTGCCATATGTCCTGCCACCTTCACTCAACATTAATCTGCTCAGTTCCACTGTAGACCTTTGGGCCCATTGCCTGCCTCACTTCTCTATGCTCTCCATTGAGTTTTTCTACCTCCTAGGCAAAGGCTGACAGAGCAAGACTGAGCAGGTGTAGCCCCCCTGGGTATGACTTGAATAAGTGAGATTTTTAAGATGGAAAATTATGGTGTAATAAAACTTTCACAGTATCTAAATAAATCTTTCACTCACAATGTATTCATTTTAGCATTGTATTTGAATTGATTTTATCTTTTCATCTTTGGGGGAATCTAAATTTTGGATTGATTGACTATATTTATTTTTTATGCACATTGTTAGGAGATTCATAAAAATGATAGTATGTTTTAGAGAATTGTTTAGGCAACATTGGAAGAGAACAGTATTATTCAAACTATATTTTGTGTCTAAGTATAACTCTTAAATAGCTCAATAGCGGTTGTAAATTTTATACAATAAACTGTATAGTGGTATAAAACACTCCTGTCTCAGTGCCTGAATTTATACCCAGAGGACATATTACAATGAAAATGCCAAAGTACTTTGGGTTCTGTTTATCTGCGACAAGGAAGGCTTCATGATAGACCCCGTGCATTGGATAGTCAAGATACATCCAGATGTTTTGAATGATTACTCAGGGTTTTATTTTATTTTAAAATCTCTCTTTGTAGACTCATATACTCAGATATTGCAATAACAAGTGGCTGCTATACATTGTGGAATTTGGGCTTTTTCACAGTAATTTTGAAGCTATTTCCATTTAAAAAGGAATACATGCTTCCCCTGACCAGTATTGCTCAGCAGATTGGAGCATTGTTCTGTACATGGCAAGGTTGTGGGTTTGATACCTGGTCAGGGCTCCTACAGGAGGCAACCAGCCAATGTTTTTCACATAAGTCTCTCTCTCTCGCTCGCTCGCTCTCTCTCTCTCTTTCTGTGTGTGTGTCTCCCTCTCATTCTTCCCTTTTCTCTAAAATCAATAAATATGTCCTCGGGTAAGGATAAAAAACAAATTTTAAAAAATAATATATGCTTATTTTATTAAAAAGAAAAACTAGCCCTGGTTGGTGTAGATCAGTTGGTTGGGCACCTTCCTGTGCACCAGGAGTTTGCTGGTTCGGCTCCCAGTCAGGGCACTTGCACAGGTTGCAGGCAGCTCCATTCCCGGTGGGCGGCATGCAGGAGGCAGCTGATCGATGTTGCTCTCTCACATCAATGTTTCTCTCTCCCCTCTACCTTCCTCTTTCTCTAAAAATCAGTAAATTATTCTTTAAAACAAAAAAAATAAGACAAAAAACTAGAATTAAAAAAAAAATTAAATAAAAAGGATTTATTTGTTTTTCCCTCTGAGATTCTCATCCCATTCATGGTTATTGTTTTCTTGTGTTTCCTTTCAACATTATTTTTTTACTAGAGGCCCCATACACAACTTGTGCAAGGGGCTTGGCCCTCCCAGCCCCAGCTTAGTCCGGAAGGTCATCTGGACAGTATTTTGGCCATCCAGTCTATATCTATTATTAGAGATATACCCATTAACATAAATATACAAAACCCTCTTGCAAAGGCTTACTACACACTCACACACACACACACACACACACACAGGGACACACACACACACACACACGCACGCACGCAGGCACGGAACCTAATTCAAACATGGGGGAACGGTCCTGCGGGATCAAATCTTCACCATTGTCCCAAAATGGAGCAAACATTTTAAAACAATGTCAGCCACTTCTGCTCCAATCATGCACCTCACACTATTTTCACAATGGTTTTATGACTGTGGAGTATGTATTCTCAGCTGGGTGTTGGTATTACCATCAAAGGGTAAAAATTGGTTCCTGTAGTGGAAAAGTATAAACTCACCATTTTCATATATAAAGCACAGATATACATAGGGTGTATAAGCAGGTATCTAGTGTACCTGTGGCATTAACTGGCATGGAGGAAGAAGTAATAAGGGGGGAAAATATCTGTAGTCTTTCCCTGGGAGGTGATAGTTTTTTTAAAAAATTAATAAACAGAATTAGAGGAAATGGTGCCAAATAGATGATTTTGTTTTAAAAGTCTAGTCTTAGAGACAAAGTGCAAATATTTCCAGCTTCTCTAATGTATATCTATGTTATCACTAGTAGTGCATTTTGCACATATATGTGCGCTTAAAATATATCCTATTTTGCATGATCCCCTTTTTACTTTATAATGCACTAGAGGCCCGGTGCACAAAAAGTTGTGCACTCGGGGGGGGGGGTCCCTCAGCCTGGCTTGTGCCCTCTCGCAGTCTGGGACCCCTCAGAGGATGTCCACCTGCTGGCTAAGGCCCGCTCCCTGGGTGATCGGGCCTAAGCTGGCAGTCAGACATCCCTCTGGCAGCCCGGGAGCCCTCGGGGGATGTCCACTTCCAGCGGGGAGCAGACCTAAGCTGCAGTCAGACATCCTTAGCGCTGCTGAGGAGGCGGGAGAGGCTCCCACCACCACCGCTATACTGGCAGCCGTCAGCCTGGCTTATGGATGAATAGAGCTCCCCCTGTGGGAGCGTACTGACCACCAGAGGGCAGCTCCTGCATTGTGCGTCTGCCCCCTGGTGGTCAGTGTGTGTCATGGTGACCAGTCATTCCCAGTCGTTCTGCTATTAGGGTCAATTTGCATATTACCCTTTTATTATATAGGATAGAGGCCTGGTGCATGGGTGAGGGCTGGCTGGTTTGCCCTGAAGGGTGTCCCGGATCAGGTGGGGGTCCTTCTGGGCTGCCTGGCCAGCCTGGGTGAGGGGCTAAGGGCCGTTTTCAGACTGATCACAGCCCCTTCAGGGTGGGGGTCCCCACTGGAGTGCCTGGACAGCCTGGGTGAGGGGCTAATGGCTGTTTGAAGGCTGGCCACAGCCCCTTCAGGGGTGGGGGTCCCTGCTGGGGTGCCTGGCCAGCCTGGGTGAGGGGCTGATGGCTCTTTGCAGGCTGGCCACAGCCCCTTCAGGGTGGGGATCCCTGCTGGGGTGCCTGGCCAGCCTGGGTGAGGGTCTGAGGGCCGTTTTCAGGCTGGCCACAGCCCCTTCAGGGTGGGGGGTGTGGCTGGGGTGCCTGGCCAGTCTGGGTGAGGGGCTTATGGCTGTTTTCAGGCTGGCCAAGCCCCCCAGTGGGGACCCTCACCCCATGAGGGTGTGGCCAGCCTTGGTGAATGGCTGATGGATGTTTGCAGGCTGGCCAAGCCCCCCAGCGGGGGATCCTCACCCCATGAGGGTGTGGCCATCCTGAGTGAGGGACTGATGGCTATTTGCAGGCTGGCCACAGCCCCAAGTCACCCAAGCTCCCAGTGGAAGCTGGCTGGAAGCAGGTATCTGGGATTTATTTATCTTCTATAATTGAAACTTTGTTGCCTTCAGCGGAGGCTACAGCCGGCCAAGGGCAGGCAGGAAGCTTGGCTTCCTCCATCGCTGGGAGCAACCAAGCCTCCTGCTTGCTCCAGCTTTGTGGATGCCAGTCGCCATCCTGTTTGGGTTAATTTGCATACAGTCGCTCTGATTGCCTGGTGGGCGTGGCTTGGGCGTAGCAAAGGTACGGTCAATTTGCATTTTTCTCTTTTATTAGATTAGATTTTAGAAATCTTCTCAAATCACCTCAGATCTACTAAACAAAGAAACAAACTGTGAATAGCAGCTTTATTTTTTAATTGTGAAAAAAATGGAAACAACCAAAATGTCTCTTAATAGGTCAATGGATAAACAAACTGATGTATCCATACCATGGACTACTGCTCAGCAGCAAAAAGAAATGAACCATTGCTACTCACAACTTGGGTGGATATCTCCAAGTTCACTCTAAGCTGAGTGGAAAAGCACCCTTTCAAAAGGTCACATGATATGTAATTCCATCTGTATAACATTCTAGAAGGGCACAATTACAGAAATGAACAGAAACTTAATGGTTGTCAGGGATGTGGTCACCTTTCTCCCTGAGAGGTGGGTGGCTGTAACTGTAAAAGTATTTCAATGAGGTAATCATTTCTTGTGAATCTACATATTTGTACCAATATTGAATTCCTGGTTTTGATATCACCCTATAATTATGTAAGATGCAACCCAGTGTGGGAAACTGGGTAAAGGGTACATGGGTCCTCTCAATACTCTTTGCAGCTTTTTGTGAACTGATAAGTATTTCAAATTAAAAAATAAAATAAAACACAAAAGAACTGCCATAGTTTTTGAAAGTGATGTCTAGTTTTTAATTTCTTAGGTATTTCAACCTTAT